AAACGCATGAGAAGGAGGATCATCCGTGCGTGAAATTTGATCTGGCGTTTTAATTCACCTGCAACATAAGTTGACTCATGAGGCCCACACTCTTGCACTTTGAGGCATTCGTTAATCTTGAACCGCATGTCTGTTCACGTCCGAATCATTTAACATTAAGTGTGCACTCTAAATAAAAAAAGCTAAATAGTATCAATCTTCTAAATACAAGTATATATTTAGTAACACGACCTGTTACTAACTTTCTTGGGCACTTACTATCTTTTGTGACCGTAATATTGCAAACACTAAAGATTGCAACAGTTCCTTTGAGCACTGTTCCTAACTTTTTGTCAAGCTCCTCTTGCATCTCATGTACCTCATGCAAACTGCTTAATCTCATCTGCCCACCTAACTTTCTGTTTCCCCCTCACCCGCTTGCCTTCTCTGTGAATTTTCATAGCCCTTTAAATAGATATATGGGGTTTAACGTCCCATAACCACCATACGAGTATGAGAGACGCCGTAGTGGAGGGCTCCGGAAATTTCGACCACCTGAGGTTCTTAACATGCCCCCAAATCTGAGCACACAGGCCTACAACATTTCCGCCTCCATCGTAAATGCGGCCGCCGCAGCCGGGATTCAATCCCGTGATCTGCGGGTCAGCAGCCGAGTACCTTATCTATTAGGCCACCGCAGCGGGGCAATTCCATAGCCCTCTACTACGGCGTCTCTCACAATCATGTGGCGGTTATGCGGACGTTAAACCTCACATATAAATCTATCAATCTCCTCTGTAGGTAAGTACTGGCAAAATCTAGCTGTTATATATATCTTCCTCTTGAGCGATAGTGGTAGTCTACCAGTCACCATTCCAGAATGCTTTCCAAATGTGCTCCACCCCATTCCTGTTCGTCTAGATACTTGAATATTGCGGTTCCTCTCCACGGTTACTACCAGTCCTAAGTAGTCAGGAAAGCCTTGGAGGGAATACAGAGGCAAAGCTGCTGGTGAGGATCAGGCAACATCAGACCTGCTGAAAGACAAAGAACAGAATGTGTTGGAAAAACTAGCCACCCTGTTTACGAAGTGTCTTCTGACTGGTAGGGTGCCAAAATCTTAGAAGAATACTAGCATCATCTCAATGCATGAGAAAGGGGATGACAAGTACTTGAACAATTACAGGGCGATCAGCTCGCTCTCCGTCGTATACAAGCTATTTACAAAGGTATTGTTAACAGAAGTAGGAGAACTTTATAATGCAACCAAACATTGAATCAAGAAGGATTTCGTACAGGCTACTCAACAATCGACCACATTCATACTATCAATCTGTTGGTAGAGAAATGCCCAAAATACACCGAATCACTATGCATAGCCTTCATGAAAGCCTTTGCTTCAGTTGATATATCAGCAGACATGCAGAAACTGCAGATTTAGTGCCTCAACGTAGCATATATATATATATATATATATATATATATATATATATATATATATATATATATATATATACATATATATATATATATATATATATATATATATATGAGATATAACAGACAGTAATGCCAAGGAATGTACAGTGGAAGTTATTAAAATCAATGGAATATAAATAAGAAGAAAGAAAAGTGGATGAAAAAATTACCAACTGTGAGCAGGAATCGAACCTACGACCTTCGAATTACGCGTTCGATGCTCTAACCACTGAGCTATCACAGTGGAATATAAATTTATATAAATAAATTTATATTCCATTGATTTTAATAACTTCCCCTGTACATTCCTTGGCATTACTGTCTGTTATATCTCATTAATATTGTGTTAAAAACACGGAAAAACGAGCCCTTAGGTATACGCTTCTTTCCCTTATTTCATTGAACGAGGGTCTCGTACTGGCAGACTTGGTGTGTTTAGGTTGTATAAGAGGGACTCTTAATCAGCTGCCCGCTCATATTAAGTTCACGTGCTACGTGACGCCAAACATGCGCATAAGAGTGTTTTCACACTCGTTGTTTGGCTTATAGATGGTGCTGACTGTCGCTCCTACTTCTAAATTCACAGATAAACCCAAAAAAGTAAATGGAGGGAGGGCCGCTGTGATAGCTCAGTGGTTAGAGCATCGAACGCGGAATTCGAAGGTCGTAGGTTCGATTCCTGCTCACAGTTGGTAATTTTTTCATCCACTTTTCTTTCTTCTTATTTATATTCCATTGATTTTAATAACTTCTCCTGTACATTCCTTGGCATTACTGTCTGTTATATCTCATTATTATTGTGTTAAAAACACGGAAAAACGAGCCCTTAGGTATACGCTTCTTTCCCTTATATATATATATATATATATATATATATATATATATGCATCCTAGAAGAAATCTTCAGCGGACTAACTAGCACCACACTGCTTCATAAAGAAAGCGACAGAATTCCAATAAATAATGGTGAAAGTCAAGGGGATGCGACCTCCCCAATGCTATTTACCACGTGCTTGCAGGAGGTTTTCAGAGGCCTAGAATGGGAAGAGTTAGGGATACGAGTTGATGAAGAATACCTTAGTACTCTCATCATGTACTGATGCATCAGGTACTGATGCCATTTCACTGTTGAATAACTAATGGGACAAATTACAGTTACCCAAGAATGATAGGTCTTAATTATTCTGCAGAAAACGAAAGTATTGCACATACTGATGCCATTTCACCGCTGGATAACTAATGGGACAAATTACAGTTAGACAAGAATGATAGGTCTTAATTATTCTGCAGAAAACGAAAGTAATGCGCAGCAACCTTGAAAGAGAACGGCGCTTCCGAATAGGAAGCATTGAACTTCGCCCTGTATGCTATGGCAAAAAAATATTGGCCGAGGAGGTGGGCACGGGTCTGGTGTGCCACCACCTGGCTACACTACGGCCGGGCTGTTGTTTCCTCCATAAAATGTACTCACATCGCAGCGCAGGGGGTATGGCCATTCACTTGCTCGGCCATGTGATGGCGCTCTCTCTCAACCTCACTGGAGTGAGCTTCATGTTTGCAAACGTTTTCGCAATTTTAAATGATGTGTTGAAATTACCTCTTACTTCTCTTTTTAAATATATCATTCTAAATCTTGTTCCCTCCTGTTAACCGTGGTTTGATTACTGCTAGCCTTGTTACGGCCTCTATTGAGCTCTCTGCTGTCAGCGTGACCACATCATAAGAGGTGTATGAACGAACGACAAGGCCGTATCATCGAAGTGCTGCGCACCTAAAAGCAACGCTGCAGTATGTCTCAAAACTTACCACATGATGATATACCTACATGCAGAAGCCTAAACACCATTGGCACAGAATGCTCTTTTATTTCCTGTTTCGGCATGCTGGCTTAAATGAAAAATGACAATACTAAAGTGCTTGCCTTCGACCCATAAATTGTTCGAAGCTATATTACATTTCTAGGCTCTAATAGTTATTTATTATTTTCTTGTTTTCTGTGATATGGAAACTTACTTTTGCGATATCATACAGAAAAATTTGTAGCACGAGTTCTTCAGTGTAAACCCTTAACTGAGAACATTTGTTTTGCCAAACTTAAGCAGGTCGCTTTTCTTGTGCTGTTTAATTGCAAAATTGACAGCTTTGCTCATTAGTAGCTGCTGATTGTTTTTGAATTTGGCTGTGCGAGATGTGATCTCGACAATTCGCGAGCTGATACTTCATGTTCTCAGGAATAATCACTTCGTCAAGGCCGATAGAAATTTACAGTGGCCTTACTAAGAGCATTTGGGTCTATTTAGGTGATTGAAACGAACGAGAACGACGCCGCACCGAGTCGGACAAAAAATGAGAAGCGTGTTTAGAAAACTCCCTTAGCTCGAGCCTTTCCACCACTTATTAAGGGGTCCTTGGAGCTCTGTAGTGAGACCATATTTTATTGTTACATTATTGAGCTGCTCGATGCGGGGCCATGAAGAAATAACAATAAAAATTTTATTAAGAAAATTGCCTCTTGCTCACGCACACTTCCCCCTTCTTCCCAATGAGGGAAATGCGCGTAAGCATGTCGTCAACGGCTCTGACAAGAAAGTATTAATAGTAATACATCAAACAATATTATTGATTTTTAAGCAGTGAAAATTTTTTGAAAGTGTTAACTTTTTGGACTTATGAGCACTGACGTTGCAATAATAATGAAGAAATAGGTAGCGTTGGTATCGTAAAAATCCAACCAAGAGTTTGTTGTAAGCAGCTTGAGTGTGTGTATGTGTGTGTGTGCCTTTTTGTGCTTTTTTATCTTTTTTCTAGGAACATAATAATTCACAGCAGCGATTTTTTTATTATGCAATTTTCGTGCTTCCACACTCTCACCTACGCTAAGAAGTATACTTACGCGCTTTGACATGTCGCTTTACGGTAACGAATATCGTGCATTCATATATTATTTGCCTATTTTAAGTCATTCATTACAGCACATGGCAGAAGGGTTTTGAGTGTGTATATTATCTAAATCAATATAGATTTATTTAAATCCAACGACAATGAAAAAAAGCAAGATTAGTACAGGCAAACAAGCTAGCCAAGGCAACCATGTTCGCGAGAGTAGAAACAAGATCACACGAGATTTCTAAGGTGCAGCTAAACTCCATCTTGCATGCAGTCATCTTCGGCAACTTACGCCTTTAACAACGATGACGTCCCGTGAATTGCCCAGGGATCTCAAAACGGCGCATTAGGTCATAACATTCGAGAAAGGACCTATATTCATGGAGGAATTAAGGAATGCTGACTAAAATTACCTGCACAACCACTGAAGGTGTAAGAGAGAAAGGGGTTGGGGAACTGCAAGTGGGAGGGGATCATTGTCAGTGTTGACGCTCTGATGGTAGAGTGCCGAGCAGCCATAGCAAAATGGTCGTTCAGCTCACGCACCCTGCTGCGTGTGACTATTTATTTTTTCTAAGAGCTAATTATCTTGAGACCTATGGTTTCAAACAACGCGTGAATATACTGGTCGATATTCGATCTTGCGATCTACGCAGGTTTCTTGACTATTGTGAACGAGCTGACCCGACAGTACCAATGGAAAACGTTCAAGGTGTATCTCGGCCCGATGCCCGTGGTCATCATTCATACTCCAGATGCGGCTGAGGTGAATATTGTACAAAATAGAGAGTTTTGTAATACCGTATGCAAAGCTTGCGGGTGCCGTAAGCTTAGCGTTGCAGGCGTTACTTAACATGAGCTTGCGAAAGGTTAGCGTATGACGTATGCCCTGCAACTACCGCAGGCTTTGTGTTGGGAGTACTAAAACTCTCTAATAAACGGTGCAAAACAATGCAGCCATAATATCATTCTGTGTGGTAGGTATTAAAAAAATGAGCTTTCAATAGGTAGAATTCTGGATAACATAAAAGAATACGTAATTCATGCAACTTGAACTACGCTTCTTTTGCCGTTGCTTTATTTTTTTCTTTAGTAATTGACGTTAGTTTTTGACAGCGGAAGGAAGTGGATCTTTATTTCCTTAGAGTGGTATAGCCATACAAGTTATAAATTATGTTTTCCCGCTTTTGCTATCACTATATTGGACAATACAAAGTATACAGTTATGAAATACATTTCCATGTAGTCAGACTCAATTAACTAATATTCTTATCGGTATCACGCATTACAGACTCTACTGACGAGCAAAGAAAACTTCCGGAAACCTTTCGTATACAGGTTCCTGTCAAGCTGGCTTGGCCCGCATAACCTGGTGACGGCGTAAGTTGGAAAGTGCTTATACTTAGCATTTTTTTATCAGCAACTTTTAATGTATTGTGTAGTCGTACAAAAAACATTAGAGAAAAACAAAAGAAAAAAAGAATCTTTTTAGATTTGGATACAAACTACATATGCATCACAATGACAACCAGTATTCCGGTGCTTTCAGCAAGTGCATCTTCATGGTGCAGTTTAGCGAATTTATGAGAGCATGATGCTATTTCTCAATGAAGCTCACAGCTATTCCACACAAGGCAAATCGTACAACGATCGCGCGTAAAGCATTTATTGCATATGTTTCGTCAAAGCATAGTGCATATGTTACGACTGAAGAATTGAAGCAAGACCTGGGAGCCTTACATGCTTGCCGATCAGGATATTATTAGTTATTGTCGCCGTCTGATAACAAACTGTATATGAACGAAGAAATTCATACACGACTTTCCGTGACGCCGTGACGCCATGTTCGATAACCTGATCATAACTGGCCTTCGGCTAGTGAAGCAGCCTTGGCCGTACCACACAAGCTGGTTGCAGCAAGGTGTTAGCAAGTCACATGCTTGCACGTCAAAACACACTTTAATATTTTTTCTCTTAGAAGTTGACGAGATTGAAACATTTGTGTTTGTTTGTCAACTACTAAGCGGCAGCGATAAGTTATGTGTTCATCCTACTTCACATTGAAGACACACGCATTGAATTGGGGTATCAGCGACCACTAGTAGATGTGGTTACATGTCAACACGGCAGCAACCATGCAGACGCCAACTCACGCTTTCATCCCAACTAGCAGTTCCTATTTTCACCCACCTATTTCTCACGATCGGGACAAAGCATCAGGTACCTTTTGTATTTATTACTGAGATCATCTGTGTTTATTATCGGTGTCTGGTAAACCTTGTATCCGAGATTTTGAGAATATATCTTGGAAGGACTGCCAAATAGCAATGTATTGCTCTTGAAGTTTCAAGACGTATATATGAAGCAAATAAATGCGCACATTTTCACTTACGGGCTACACAGCACATGAAGAAAGGAAAAAACATTCACAGCTGTACCCACGTTGACTTGTTTCCGGTGCTGCCATCTGCTCACTTTTGCTCGCTCAACATAGCGCAGAAGCTATGAGGTCGCTGAGCGGATGACGTGGCGCAGATGAAGATATATTGAGCACTGCTGCTAAAGGTAACGTTCTTGGACTGAAAGGCTACAATGCCGACCCCATCTGGTTTTATTTGAAAATCTTCAATGGCGGAAAGGAATGCTGGCAAATCTCATGCACTGTCATAGCCAATGTTATGCGAAGCAGGCAGGAGTGATGAACGTATACATAAAAATATTTTCTGAAGAATCTAAAAACCTCTCTTTGCATTGATGTAAAAGAGCTCCATGCGCGAACACTGTTTACAACGCACAGGACCTGCTTTTCAGGTATGAAAATTTCTAGACGCTCACGCGGTCACTGCAGAACAGTACTTGGATGTACATTAATAATGATACTGTAAACACATTCTCCGGTGGTTGGACCTCTCTGTCAACAAGTGAGATAGTTTTTCCACATGCGACACACGGCAGAATTTGTCAGATACGTTAGCATGGGTCATAATTTTAGTATGCTGGACTATCAAATCGTGTCCAACGCTTCCACGGCGTCTGCCGAAAGAGGAAATTTCTTGAGGTGTGAAGCAATCTTTAAATAGGCAGCATTAGCTCTTTTCCGCGCACCGTAGGCGTGGCGTTCGGACGAATTAGCGTAGCCTCAGCGAAACTTCAGTGCCCTTTTTTCTCCGCCATCCCCCCTCGCCTCTCTACTTCGCCGAGAGGCGAAGGAGGATGGGCGGTGTTTGAGCTAGTTACAACATGCTTCGTGGGCGATATGCCCCTCTCCCCGGGAATTTGAAAGATGCACTTTCTCCTTTGTTCGCTTTTATTACTTCCTGTTTGCGCAGCTTGTCATGAAGAAAACTTAAGGACAGTATAAAAACGGGCTTGTTGATAATATATTTCGATGGAGACAGATGAGCACAAAAAAAAAATAGTCACATAAAAGAACACAGACAGACGAAGCGCAAAGTAACAGTTTATTGCCGAGAAATGGGACCTTTCCTATACCAACGCCTAAGACTCATGTTGTATCATGAAACAATGATTGATATGTGGGGTTTAACGCCCCGAAACACCATATGATTATGAGAGACGCCGTAGTGGAGGGCTCTGGAAATTTCGACCACCTTGGGTTCTTTAACGTGCACCCAAATCTGAGCCCACGGGCCTACAACATTTCCGCCTCCATTGTATCATGAAACAAAGCAAACACAAAACCAACACACACGTGTCGAACCGTTGAGATGAACAATCTCTTGGGCTTCTAAATATATTGGTGGCATGCTCATGCAATTGTATTTGAGGCATGAGATATTGTGAGCTTCAATGATTGGGCATGTTGTTTCACTTCTGTTGTTTAGGATTACAGTGATAATTTGAACTTCAGGTTTGTTATTATAATTCTTGCACTGAAGAAACAGCCACACCACTGTTTTCTTTCCAACGTTGTACATGCTTCTGGCGGTGGTCATTATTACAGCGACCTTTTTGACCGATACACAGGCGGTTGCATGTAAGCGGAGTATGGTGCACAAACCCCTCAGTGCAATTTACACATCTGGCTTGATTTTTCCTATGACAAAATTTCCTTTATTTGCGTCATGGTGCGTCATTCACACACGGTTGCTAGTTTGGTTGGCGCAGAAAATTAAACCTTCATGTCAGCTTTTAGCGCGCATTTTTTATGACAAGAGACAATTTATGAGTGTACGGGATTAGAAAAAAAGTTTTTTATCCCTCTCTTGAAGTGAAGGCGGAATGTTCAAAGTAGAAGCTTCTGCGTTAGTAGCTCTTCGGCTTCGGAAACAACAGTTGCCTGGAGTGACCTGCTTGTTATAAATGTTATATATTCGCTGACAGAAGCTTTCATGCATTTGATAGAAGTAGAATTTCTCCATTGCAATATTTGAGCAAAGATTGGCAAGTCTCCTTTTTACTAACCTTGATTGCTTTAATTTAAAATAATGAATTGGTGAATTAGCTCGGGATTGATAGCCCAGCACGCACAGTTTTCTGAAAATCTGAATTGGGCATCATGAGAAGGATTTCTCCTATTGCTGGGAAGTTCATGAGTTACGTTTTCTAGGATGACACTCATTAACATGGCCGACATATTCATGAGCGACATTTACAATACAATACTTCTAATAAAATCTCTTAAACATTCCTTGGCATGATTGTCTGTTAGATATCAATATATTGTGTCTAACAAAGAAAAACGAGGCTTTAATTGTACACTTCTTTCCGTCATTCATAGCGAGAGTCTCGTTCTGGTTGACTTGGTGCTTTGAGGTAGCATATGAGAGATTATTGGTCAGCTGCCCGATCCTAATAAGATCACGTTCTACGTGACACCAAACAGGCACAAAAAAAGTGTTATACACTCGCCATTATGATTACTGGTGGCGCTGACAGACGCTCTCAAGTTTAATGCACACATAAACCCTGTAATGTAGACGGGAGATTGCCGCCGTGGTAGCTCAGTTAGATAAATCATGGGACCCGTTATTCGAAGCTCACAGGTTCGCTCCCTGCCCACAGCAAGTCATCTTTACGGCCGCCTTTCTTTTCTTCACATCCACATTACAATAGCTTTCAATAACATCCCCTATCTTCTCCTTGGCATGATTGTCTGTTAGACCTCATTATGAAGGAGTCCAAGAATTTTCAAACACGAACCAAGAACATTTTTTTAGTTTTGAAGGCAAACCTGGCTCGTCACATCTAAAAGAAGCAAGTATTTATCAAGAAATCTAACAGCCTTTATCACATTCTTGTAGCTAAGATCAGGGGATAGTGCGTTGTAAATCCAGATAAAAAGAAATCATTAGAAACAGGGGCTGTGCATGAGCCTGTGCAGACGCCTGCCTTCTGAAGAATACCCTGTCATTCCGTTTCATCATGGCTGATTTAAAATCGAGCGGAAGTTATTCTACAAAAATGTCCTTTCAAGATATCGGAATCAGCTTGGAAAGCTCTTTCGCCAAAATCTTTGTTAGCTCTATCAACGCAGCTTAGAAAACTACAGTCGGGTAGTCTATAGTATCGATTGGTGATGTCTACAAAAAAAAAAAAAACATTCAGGTTCTTGCCTGTGAATGAGCTACTGAATGGCTGATCGGGCGAGTTAGTGATTCATAATACTTGAAATACGAGTGCGTTTGCACAAACAAAAAATAAAGAAGACAAGCGGAAGCACGTCCTTGTCCATGTTTAGAATGTACATAGACTCCATGTAAATCGTTATAACGAGACGGTCACTTTGCTTCCATTTACATGCACCATACGTTATTTATCTGATAGGGCGCTGTGTGTGTTACAGGCCGACAAAGAAGGTGCTTTCACAGTTTTAACTATTAAGCCAGGCAGACAATTATGAAATCTTTCAACCCACAAGCAGACATTTCAATCCAGAAGCAAGAAAGAAAAAACTAAATAACATGCCCGCGAATCTAGCGCAGGTCATGAAAAATAAATTTAAGACCTCGTTTTACTATCTGGATGTTTTCTTCACGATGTAAACGCCCTTCATTACAACGCCCTTCATTACTCACATTGTAGGAAAATACTTCTGAACAGGTGCTAATTTGAAAACTTGCTCAATTGCTAGCATTTACAAATTTCTTCTGAGGGTTGAACAGTCCTGACGTAAGTACATTTATGCGCGTAGAAGCCTTGCTAAAGCTTTTTGTCGACATTTTCTGCTACGTTCAAAACTTCCATCTAATTTTCGGAATGCTTTGCACAATCTGAATGCAGTCAAGTGTTGACGAAGAGTTTTATCAATCACCTCAATTTAGGCCAGATTCCCCGAAAGTCTGCACACGCTGGTAAGTGCTCCCAGTAAGCGTAGAAATAATTGGGCCGCTTCCTTTCCTCGAGCTTTCCTCCCCTTC